GACTGGAGTCGTGTGGATTACTTGTGGATTATTGTGATGTTTTTATCAGCTATTTGGACACTTTTATTCTGACGGCACCCATTCACTGCAGAGGATCCATTAGTGAGCAAGTGATGGAATGCTACATTTCTCCAAATCTGTTCTGATGTCTTTTCTAAATTTTGAATGGGTGAGTAAATTCTAGCAAATTAACATTTTTGGGTGAACTATCCATTTAAATTAACACTTTTTTGTCATGTATACAGGTGCAGCTCAATAAATTAGAATGTCGTGGAAAAGTTCATTTATTTCAGTAATTCAACTCAAATTGTGAAACTCGTGTATTAAATAAATTCAATGCACACAGACTGAAGTCAGGGGCGGACTTACCAATTAGGCAAAGGTAGGCGACCGCCTTGGGCCCCCAAAAGCCAAGGGCCCAATTTTAAGGTATTTAGAACAGAGCAACATAAAAATCAGAAAATATAAGCAGCTAGGCTACAGTTATAGGACAAAGTTTTACATATATGCCATTATAATTTGTGTTTTATTTTTTAATTGTACGGAATTTTTATACGGAATTATAAAATAAAATGCAAAAGGCCTGTTTTAGGCTTTTCCTTATTGTTATATTTTAAACATCCATCAATTATGGTGATGAAAGAAGAATCAAAGACTTAAACTACTTCAGTCTGTGTGCATTGAATTTATTTAATACACGAGTTTCACAATTAGAGTTGAATTACTGAAATAAATGAACTTTTCCACGACATTCTAATTTATTGAGATGCACCTGTATATATTTCTCACCTATGAAATCATTAGATTTTCCCATGTCATAATCCCAGACAGAGACATCCAAAGTCTTCTTTGCCAGTTCAGCATGCTTGATTTCATAGCTGAACTCCTGAAATCACACACACACAAAAAACATGACAGGTTTATTTCATAAGATATTAGGGTTGTGACGGTGAGGAAATTAATCTTGATCTGAGTTTTATACTTTGCTTTCTTTCCCATGTCGGGCTTCAAGTAACTGCAAAACAGCATGGCAATTCAGAGACACAAAAGCACACAGCATGTTAAATAAGCCTAATGACTGTCACAAAGCAATTTCACCAAGCGAATTCTTCTTCTTCCAGAGAACATTTTAATTACACTTTGAGAAGTGCTTTTGGTGCTGCGTTTTATTAAACTGTTGTATACTTGCATCTTTACAAAGGGGTCAGAATAGCCATTCGAGTCCATTGCTGCCAGATGAACACATCGAACTACACCCACAATCAGACGACTCTGCTGGCTGTTGTAGGTGAGAGAAATCAGGATACGTCCCCTCTCCTCTGCCTCTTCATCGTCCTTCAACTGGAAAAAAAGCCACACAAAAGATGAGTAAACCCATATATCTTCCTGTGGACACTAATTAACAGATCAATCATTAGCTGAACCATTTAACCAAAGTGACTTGTAATGCACACAGGTGTACAGATGCAGTTCAACAAGGAGACACGGAGGTTAAATGCCTGACTCGACAGCTACCAGCTACTATGCTTTCTTGGGAATACTTCAGTGTTGTAAGTATTTAATTTCATATTTAATTCTCAAAATGTATGACGCAGTTACCTCCTCCTCATAGAGCGCCATGCCACGAGATGCACCTGCGCCAGCAGTACGTCTCACCTGCGTACCAGGTGTTAAACATACAGTCAGTTTACTACACTGCAAAGTCAAATTGGGTCATTCCTACAGTTTGGTGAATTTTATGTCCCCATGAAACAACACTGCATATTTTACATGAAATGGTAATCATCTTTTATGCCACATGGTTTTCCATGCATACATGTACCCCAAAAATTCCCATGTTTTCTCAACTTCATATTGAAATAAAGGTAACATATATTTGTAAATTAGTTATTTTAAATATTAGTATATACATTATTATTCTCTTTGACATAACTCACCAATGGATCCTCTGCAGTGAATGGGTGCCGTCTGAATGAGAATCCAAACAGCTGATAAAAACATCACAATAATCCACACCACTCCAGTCTATCAATTAATGTCATGTTTGTATGAATCAAATCCATCATTACGACGTTTTAACTTCAAATCGTCGCTTCTTGCCAAAATATGAGTCCATAATCCATAATAATGCTTCCTCCAGTGAAAAAGTCCATCCCCCGTTGTCCTCTCACATTAAAATCCACCAACATATTTGTTTTAGAACTGTTTTAGACTTGTAAATGGTGCTTGATCTGTGGCATATTTCTCTCCTGATTAAGACGAGACAACTTTTTCTCTTAAGAAAGCGATATTATGGATAGAGGACTCAGTTTAGCCAGAAGCAACGTTTTGAAGACTGGAGTGGTGTGGATTATTGTGATGTTTTTATCAGCTGTTTAGACTCTCATTCTGACGGCACCCATTCACTGCAGAGCATCCATTGGTGAAGAAACAGACTCATGAGCTTCTTGAGCTTAAAGCATTGAAACATTAAAATGCACATTGCATTGATAAATTGTCAATAGGACAAATTTCCTATGCAAAAATTGAAAATTTTTGGTTAGGATTATTAGGTTAAACTACATTTTCTCAATATAAGACTAAAAGATAAATTAAATTTTAAGCATTTTTTCAACAAACCTGCTCAGTCCAGAATTTACCCTAAACTGTAGGAATGACCCCATTACAGTAAACTTTCTACAAAACGGTTTACTGTCCCCTTCAGCTTACCGGAATCGCTCTCTCAAGACACACATTGAAGGTCTTCTTCTGGTTCAGCTTCAGTTTTTTCAAGACCACCCGCGTCTCGCCGATAAACTCATTATGGCCGAACTTGTCCTCATCACTGACTGAAAGCCTGCCAGGGAACAATGCGGATGCTGACCCTTTCCACTCTGGGAAATGTCACGGCTTTAATTAAGTCCACTGCAAACTATTCTAACCGAACACATCAGTGAGGCTTTCCAAGAATCTTTAAGTTGCAAATGCAATGGAAGAAAACGCAACAGTCAGCTCATTCCATCATGCAAATGACTGAGGAAGGAGAATTGTAAACAATTAGCGTTATGTTGCCCATTCACATTTACCTCTGAAAGCACACAGGTGTCACAGGTGTACAGATGCAGTTCAACAAGGAGACACGGAGGTTAAATGCCTGACTCGACAGACTATGCTTTCTATGCTTTCTTGGGAATACTTCAGTGTTGTAAGTATTTAATTTCATATTTAATTCTCAAAATGTATGACGCAGTTACCTCCTCCTCATAGAGCGCCATGCCACGAGATGCACCTGCGCCAGCAGTACGTCTCACCTGCGTACCAGGTGTTAAACATACAGTCAGTTTACTACACTGCAAAGTCAAATTGGGTCATTCCTACAGTTTGGTGAATTTTATGTCCCCATGAAACAACACTGCATATTTTACATGAAATGGTAATCATCTTTTATGCCACATGGTTTTCCATGCATACATGTATTCCCATGTTTCCCATGTTTTCTCAACTTCATATTGAAATAAAGGTAACATATATTTGTAAATTAGTTATTAGTATATACAGTATATACATTATTATTCTCTTTGACATAACTCACCAATGGATCCTCTGCAGTGAATGGGTGCCGTCTGAATGAGAATCCAAACAGCTGATAAAAACATCACAATAATCCACACCACTCCAGTCTATCAATTAATGTCATGTTTGTATGAATCAAATCCATCATTACGACGTTTTAACTTCAAATCGTCGCTTCTTGCCAAAATATGAGTCCATAATCCATAATAATGCTTCCTCCAGTGAAAAAGTCCATCCCCCGTTGTCCTCTCACATTAAAATCCACCAACATATTTGTTTTAGAACTGTTTTAGACTTGTAAATGGTGCTTGATCTGTGGCATATTTCTCTCCTGATTAAGACGAGACAACTTTTTCTCTTAAGAAAGCGATATTATGGATAGAGGACTCAGTTTAGCCAGAAGCAACGTTTTGAAGACTGGAGTGGTGTGGATTATTGTGATGTTTTTATCAGCTGTTTAGACTCTCATTCTGACGGCACCCATTCACTGCAGAGCATCCATTGGTGAAGAAACAGACTCATGAGCTTCTTGAGCTTAAAGCATTGAAACATTAAAATGCACATTGCATTGATAAATTGTCAATAGGACAAATTTCCTATGCAAAAATTGAAAATTTTTGGTTAGGATTATTAGGTTAAACTACATTTTCTCAATATAAGACTAAAAGATAAATTAAATTTTAAGCATTTTTTCAACAAACCTGCTCAGTCCAGAATTTACCCTAAACTGTAGGAATGACCCCATTACAGTAAACTTTCTACAAAACGGTTTACTGTCCCCTTCAGCTTACCGGAATCGCTCTCTCAAGACACACATTGAAGGTCTTCTTCTGGTTCAGCTTCAGTTTTTTCAAGACCACCCGCGTCTCGCCGATAAACTCATTATGGCCGAACTTGTCCTCATCACTGACTGAAAGCCTGCCAGGGAACAATGCGGATGCTGACCCTTTCCACTCTGGGAAATGTCACGGCTTTAATTAAGTCCACTGCAAACTATTCTAACCGAACACATCAGTGAGGCTTTCCAAGAATCTTTAAGTTGCAAATGCAATGGAAGAAAACGCAACAGTCAGCTCATTCCATCATGCAAATGACTGAGGAAGGAGAATTGTAAACAATTAGCGTTATGTTGCCCATTCACATTTACCTCTGAAAGCTTCAGTGCATTAAATAAAGTAAAGCTCGTTTTACCTGAGAGTCTTTTTCTGCATGTCTTCATTAGTGATGCCATGATAAACAAGGGTCTCGTTCCACATGGGGTTCAAGGTGGTACGAATCGTCTTTGTTCTTAGCTTGTTAGACTGAGAAATCGACAAAATATCATGCATTCATTACGTTCTGTGACAATTTCTACAACAACTTGCACAGCTGTTGTTACCATTAGCAGGATTTCTTTTATAGATCACTGGTACCTTACTGGCTCCTGGAAGCAAGTGCAGTTTCACATAAGGATCAGCCAAGCCATTGGAGTCCATGGGCTTGAGACCCTTCACCAAAGATGAAATAATTGCATGGTTAGCAGTTCTACATGATCCTTCAGAAACGTTTTTCCAGTGCAGAAATAGATTGCATGGAAACTGCCTGTTCTAGGGAAGAAAGACAATACCTTTGCTTTGATTATATTGCAGTGCAGTTCGTTTTTCTCCTCCTCGTAGAGCAGACTGAACTCCAACATGCCCAGAGTGGCTGGAAAGTGGACAACATCGTGTGAAAAGCATGAAAAAAAGCTGACACCGAAGAATAACAGCCTCACTTCAATGCCGTCTCAAGCGCACGTCTGCTGATTTTACGCAATCTGTGATGCAAGACTTGCACGGTAAACCATTTTGTTCTGTGTGGTTCCCATGGGGTATAAACATGTCCATATGTCAGTGCAAATTAGCATCTTACTGGCATCGTCAGAGTCATAGCTGTTGGCGTCCTCTTCATCCTCTGCGGTGGGGGGTGGTGGCTGGCGTGAAGCGGGAACGCTGTTGGCAGCTGGCAAACGTGCGTCGGTCTGCATAGCAGGTGGTGCCCTGGCCTCCGGTCGACTCATAGGATCTGGAATTCGTACCAAGAGACAAAATCTGTGCAGTTGCTACATTGTTATAGTCAAAACAATTAAGAAAGGAAACACAGTAATCACTGGGTTAAGCATCCAGATCGATAACTCCAGATGCATCAACCAACTGTAAGTCATTTAGCTGATGCTTTTAACCGAAGCAATCTGCAGTGTGCTTATTATAGGTTCAGTCCCACTGGAGCAATCTGAGGTTAAGCATCTTGATCAAGGGCACAATGGTGACGAATCAAAAGCTTGTGGGTACTAACCTATAACATTTTGTTTACCAGCCCAGGGGCCCCAATTATAAAGATGTCCACAGAATGATCCTACATGTGAATGTAAGTCACTTTCTGAAATGTGCACAAAAAAAAGTTCCTTTATAAATCGCTGTCCATCTTAAATGTAAACGCAAAGTGAACAAGCACATCAACTCCACCTAATGAATTAATTTCACATTGGAAAGCAGTTGCTCATTTGCATATTGTGATTGTCCATTTATCTTGACATTTTAAGGGACAAAGCTGTGTGTGTGTGTTTTATATGTAGGCCTATATATTTGATTTGGTATAATTTTGCCTTTTTATCTTGTTTTTCCAAGAAACTCATATTTTATAAATACTGCATTAATTTTAGTGATTCAATGCTGTCATCATTTTCTCACCCTCCACTTATTCTGAACTTATATCTTCTGCTGAACACAATATATATTATTTAATATATATTTTGAAGAATGTTGGTAACCAACAGCCATTGATTTCCATGTTTTTTTTTCATAATATAATGACAGAATTTTCATTTCATTTTGCATGAACTATTCCATTTATTTCAAGTAACAATTTATTTTTATTTTTTTTTAATTTTTAACAATAATACCCCGGATGTGTTGTAACTTGTAACCAAAGTGGTTTTAGTTATTGCCTTTATAAATACCGATTTGCTCCTCAGTTCTGACATAGAATGAAATCCATGGAATTCAGGATCAAATCCGATCATATGTGCATTTTATTAACAAGGCCCCTGAACCACGGTGCAATTGAAGGACACATACACTTTTATAATATTCCCATTCCCGAATCATTACTGCTTATGCTATGTGAATATTACATGAGTTCTCTCACCTTTTTGTATGGGAGTCGTGGAAAAGGTCGGCGCTGGAGGTTTGGAGCTCATCACCGGTACTTCTCTCTTCACCACAGGTGAGTACGTTTGTCCTTCCACAACGGCGTTGGACTGAATCGTGCTCCTGCTCATAGACTGTCTACCTCTGTCTGCTTCTAGGGCTCTTTGGGATATGACCGAATGCTCGTCCCGTTTAGGGGGCATCGTTTCTGCTGAGCACGGGAGAAAACGGGAAAATGATACTGCAATCGTAAGCCTCATTTCCTCCTAGCGATATTAAGTGTTATTGAGATGCAGGACACTTACCAGATATCTGCTGCTCTCTGCCGGTGACCTGCATGCTCTCTGCATGGAAATATAGCAGTTTCTTTGACCCATGAATTATGAAAACCTTACAATAAATTATCCATGCCTAGTGCGAATATATTAAAAAACTGCATGGTACTGAGAATTTGTAATTAGGAATTTTTCCAATGCAAAGCAATACTGAAACTGTAGAGTTTACCTCCATTTTTTGACCGTGAAGATACTGAAGACTCTTGATTGGTTGGTGGATTGGTTGAAGTTGGCGCGCTGGTGGTTCTGAGCTCTCTATTATTAGAGATCGGTAAAGGAGCGGGTAAAATTTGTTGTGGTAAACCTTTGAAAAACCAGGCACCAGACCGCTTCAGCATCTTTGGGAAAGAATAAATGATCATTTGGCAACTTCGATGTAGTTTTAGCGCACTGATTTACTCTAATTCGCCACTAATAACACATCTGTGCTCAGTTTAGCAAACTCTTGCTTGTGTGAGTGAATTGTAAGAGTCTGCTAAAATAATTTTGGCCTAAAACAAACTACAGCCAAAGGCGGAAATGTAAATTTCATTTAAGAATCAGCCTTTTTGCTGTTCCACTTTCCAAGCTCCAAGTAATTTGATACACTTTAAAGTTACAAAAAAAAAACTAAGCAATTTTCTAACCCAATTGAACCTTAGGAGATCAAATATATGTAACAACATAAGTTAGAATTCATAGACTATGAAAAATAGGATGGACTGTTTATGCTACCCACGTAATTGATAAAACAATGCTGCATTACCGAAGTTTCTACATTTTCTTTTACAGCACCTGTGATGTACCATCTCATCTCAGCCAATTACCATCCACATATTCATCAGCTGGGAGCTGGAATGGCTGGAATATGAAAATGCAGGAACTCAGTTCTGCCCTGGTGTTATGAAGTAAAATGTCAGCGACTCAAATGGGATTCGGGCTTCATGATCTTGTTGCATTAAAGAGAGTCACATCTCCTGCTGCTACTGACCCCGTCTGACAAGGAAACTAACCGTGACTTACATCGTCAAAAGGATGAATCATCTTATCACAGTCAAAGTGTCTTTGAAAGTTAGAGGTGCTGAACTATCCTGTCTATTTATATCTCTGAGCTACACGCAGAATAATTATTCTGTGCAGCCAGTTAAATATTATTTATACGTAGAGCATTTTTTAGGAGTTGATTTAAAAAATGTTGTAGAAATGGATTTCTTTAATCAAACATGCACATCACTGCATAAGCATTGACTGCTCAGCCATCAAAACAAATGATCTCATCATCAATGCCAGGTAAGTGCAGACTTACATTAACAAGCACTTTTTGAAAGCACACCATTTACTGAATATAAACCTGAAATGTTTTAACATGAGGGATTCACAATACAGTTAGTTACCTCATTATCACATTTAAGGAATAATTCACCTAAACAGGAATATTCTGTCTTTATTTACTCATTCTCATGTTGTTCCAAATCAACATGCTGTCATTTTTTTAATTTATGCAACTTATTTCTATGAAATTACAATTCCTAGTGATAAAAAGTAGTAGTCCATATGACTTGAGCCATATTCCAAGTCTTCTGATTTTGTATATTCAAATCAGTGCACCACTTTTGGGTACGACACACCAGCGTTGTTATCATTAAATAAAACAAAAACTAAAATTTTTTTTTTATTTTTTTTATTTAAATTAAACGTTAACGAGATAGTTCACCCCAAAATTAAAATTTTGTCATCATTTACTCACCCTCAAGTTGTTCCAAACCTGTATGATTTTCTTTCAGGTGTTGAACACAAAAGAAGATATTTAGAAGAACGTTGGTTAACAAACATTTGACGGTAGCCATTGACTTCCATATTATGAAAAAAAAAACACTATGGATGTCAATGGCTACCGTCAACTGTTTGGTTACCCACATTCATCAAAATATCTTAATATATTATAAATATTATTTTGTGTTCAGAAAAACTAATATAGGTTTGGGACAAGTGAAGGGTAAGTAAATGAGGGCAAAATGTATACATATATACAGTGGGTACGGAAAGTATTAAAATGTCAACAATTCTGTGTTTTTCTGTCAATATGGGGTGCTGTGTGTACATTAATGAGGAAAAAAAATTTACTTAAATGATTTTAGCAAATGGCTGCAATATAACAAAGAGTGAAAAATTTAAGGGGGTCTGAATACTTTCCGTACCCACTGTATATATATATATATATATACACAATAATAATAAATTAATCTCATTTTATTTCAGCAAATTGCCAAGGAAATATTTCTCATTTTCCTTAAGTTGAAGTTCTAAAATAGCTAAAGAAATTTAAACTAATAAATAAAATGTTATTTAAAAAAGAAAGAAAATGGCAAACAACGCCAAAATAATAAACAAATAATAAAAATTTCAGAAATACTACAGACATATTAAATCTAATAAAAATGACAAAACGCAACAAAATTACTGAAACTTTAACTTTAAAAGTGGAAACAAAATATAAAAATAAAATCTATTTTAAAAAATTTACAAAAACTATAATATAGTAATTCAAAATGATCTAAAATACCGCATTGACATCATCAAGTTTGACACAACATGTCTAAAGGCAATTTGAGATTTAAGCTGCAGAGTTGCAGAAATAAATAAATGACTTGGATTTGTTACAAAGCTGTCATTTGACTTCAGAAGACTTGGACTTTAGCACACAGGTCGAATAGACTACTTTAAGGATGCTTTTATGTTTTTTTTGGAGCTTGAAATTAATGGTCACACTGACCTCACAGAGGAGCTCAAAAATCCTCCCTTTGTGTGGAAAGAACAGCAAAATTATGACAATTTTAGGTTTTGGCTGAATTACCATTGCTCTAAAATAACATTCAATGCCTCAATGCATCTCACCTCTTTGTGCTCACTGCAGATTTTGCACAGCCATATTGGACTGGAATGACTGACGCTTTGAACGCCACACTTAGTGCACATGTTCTGTGGGGGTGAAACACAAACAGGCCTCAGGAGGCTGCGCAGGTGTAAACGCACTCAGATGGTATTAAGTTCCATCACTGCTGAAAAACAGCCCACAGACTAAACATCCCCTCCGGGATCAATAAACAATATATTGATATTTGTGTCAGGCGTCACAAAAGACAAGCATATGCATTCCGTGACATTATTTTTGATTGTGCAGACTGATTGGCATCCCTCTTAAATGCACACGTGGCTCAGTAATGGGCAGGGCATAATAAAGATAAGTGCATATCGCTCATTCATTTCTCCTTGCTTATTTTTGGACAATCGTTATTGGAAGACGTGCTCGGCGTGCATTAGATAATTGCATGAGGTCAAAGGCTTGGCGAATGCACGTCCACCTTTTTGCACTCCGCGCACACGACCGCGCTGACGCCCGCCAGGCCGAACTGCTGGCCGCAGAGTAAACAACGCAAGTCGCCGTCACCGCAGGCCGTCCGCTTCATGCTGTCCAGGCGATTTACCAGACGCCTGCGGGACAAAAAAAACACAATGTATAACGTCAGCACACTTCCGCCCCTCCTCCAAGTAATGTATTGATGTAAAGAACTGTGAGTTAAGACGTTTTGCAAGCAAAGTGCTGAGAAAGAGAATGAGAAGGAAGGCAGTTCTTGTCTAGTTAGCACTATTAATTTCTTGCAGTACATTCCTCGGCTGACTCTTGGCTTGTAATAAAGCTTAAGCACACCCGTCTTCTCAATCACTTGGACAGATGTGCTTGGGCCGAATTGCTCTGCGGAATGAGAGGAAACTGTGAACCGATGCTTTTGGGGTCTCAGGTGTTGGTCAATATTGCCTTTGCTACAAAAGCTACTGAGTCCAGTCCTGTGTGCGATAATGTGACAGCTTGTGACCCTGCGGATAATTTGTATAAAAACCTGTTTGGTCACCCAGTGGAAGACAGTGTTCGGGAAAAGTCATTTTTGCTTCAAGTTTCAAGTCACATTTATTTATATAATACAGATTTTCAAAAGCAGAGTTTGCATTAATAAACAGGGAACTAACGGTATTAATGTTATCAAATTCAGTAATGATGAAATGAAGTCAATTTTAGCTGTAAAGCAGCTCTGCAGAGGTCATTATTCAACTCCATTTAGTTCAATGTTTAATCAATTCAGTTCAATAACTGCAGACGTTGCAAAGTTAGTGTCATTATTCAGCTCAATTCAGTTAAACTTTTGTTCTCATCTGATTGCGTCAGTGTATTATTTCTGAATATGAATTGTTTTTCAAACCCCATCTTATGATATCAACTTTCCAGGTGTTTCTTCTAAAATTCCATATGAGGAACAAAAATGATACAATTGTTGACATACAATAGGATTACGGAGGGAAAAATCAATCATGTGGACAACAAAACCAAACAAGCAAGAAGCTTCAGGCTTCAGACATTCGGTCTCTGTTTGATCGTATTACTCTTTAAAACAGATATTTGGGACAATTTATCTTGGAGACTAAGGAATATTTAATTGCACAGACATTAACCGACTCAGTGGAGTTCTCTATTATGATTTCCTTTACCAAAGGTATCAACTTCATCTCAGATGTTTCCCTTAAATCGCCTTATAAGGAATAAAAATGGACACAAATGAGACAATAATTAAGGATAAAAAAAATCATGGATAGCGTAAAACAAATGCTAAGAAAGAGGAAAGTCAGCAAAGTCTCCATTTAATTTTACTGCTATCTACAACAGACAACTGAGACAATAAAGACATCTAATTTGTGCTTAATTTTCTTTCCTACTGGCAGAGGAAAATTTCATTGCATAAACATGGCTCTTTTTCTATCTAAAGAGACCTAATGGAGTTTTCCATTATGATTTACTTTACCTAACAAAAATCTAAGTTGTCTCTGTATTCCTAATATTTATTGGGAGAAATAAAAATAGACACAAATGAGACAATAATTAACACAGTAGGAGTATAAAGCTACAAAATAAATATGAGGATAGATATTTCGATCTGAGAAGAATCTGATGAGAAATGTTCACACTGAGATCTCAGACTTTCGAAATCTTGGGAAATCTGAGCACAGTTTGAGACATTAGGGTAGGGACACACCAAACTGACGCCAAGGAACTAGCGCTGAGGAAAGCCGATTGTGGCGTCACCTCGCAATGCTTCACATCACCCGCGTCGGGGCAAAAAAAAAAAAGTTGCACTAGAACACATCAGACAGACTACACCTGACGGCCAACTAGCGTGTGTGCTGTGCGCTTACGTGAGAGAGCATAACTCTCCATTCCAGCAGGTGGCAATAGTCATTGGCATTGGTCGTCATCTTGTGGATAAAGAAAGAAACAAACGGATAGAATGACAACAATCGGTGCGTTCCAAACGGGATATATCGCCCTCCGAAGGGCACTTCGGAGTGAAAACAATCATGGCCGCCATATTGAAGGGTCGTTCCAAACCGAAGTGCTCAAAACTGGCCACTTCAAAGGGCCCTTCGGAAAGAAGGATTTCGAAGGGTACAAATGATGGACACTTCGGTCTCCCATGATCCTTTGCGCAGATTCATCCGACTAGAGCCAAAAAACTAAAGCCGACCGATGTTTAAAAACAACTCGACATCACAGAGCTAATGCTAGCCGAGCATTTGTGGTTAAAAAGTGTATAAATATAATTTTTTGTAAGAAAATGACTGATCATTTCGCTAGATAAGACCCTTATTCCTTGGCTGGGATTGTTTAGAGCCCTTTGAAGCTGCATTGAAACTGCATTTTTGACCTTGAAATCGTTGGCCACCATTGAAGTCCACTACATGGGAAAAAAAATCCTGGAATGTTTTCCTTAAAAAAAAAAAGCAAGCTTAATTTCTTCGCGACTGAAGAAAGACAGACATGAACATCTTGGCTGACATGGGGGTGAGTAAATTATTAGGACATTTTTAATCCGGAAGTGGATTTATCTTTTAATCTCACTGGTGTCTTTGAGTCTAGGTGTAAATTGATCTGAATAATGACAATGTTGTCTTCTGTAGAGCTGCTATTTAGCTGAACTGAATTTGTTTCTTAATGGATGGATTTTGCAACATTGACACTGTTATTGAACTGAACTGTATCAACTAACTTGAACTAAAAAAATGACACTTTGTCTTTTTAGAGCTACTTTAGCCTACATCAGAATTATTTTAATCTCACTGGTGTCTTTGAGTCTAGGTGTAAATTGATCTGAATAATGACAATGTTGTCTTCTGTAGAGCTGCTATTTAGCTGAACTGAATTTGTTTCTTAATGGATGGATTTTGCAACATTGACACTGTTATTGAACTGAACCGTATCAACTAACTTGAACAAAAAAAATGACACTTTGTCTTTTTAGAGCTACTTTAGCCTACATCAGAATTTGAATTTCTTATATTGGAAGAAGTTTGCATTATTGATTCTGTTAATTTTCCTGTTTATTACTATGAATCTGCATTGAAACAATCTGTATTGTATAAAGCGCAACCGAAATAAAGGAGACTTGACTTAGAGATTTTCTTCGGGAGCAGAACAAAAACACGACTTCAAGTCAACGTCTCACCCAATCCTCTCTTGCTCCATGGCCTCCATCATCTTGGCTCTCGCCAGCACACTGTTGATAATTTCCTTCTCCTCGTCCGTCAGTTCCTCGATTCCAGCGGCGGACTCCATCTGCCTGCCGTACATCTCGCAGCCCGTCCTAAAGCTCACAAGCACAATAGTCAATTACGCCCAGTGCACAGCCAAACACATCTGCAGCGCCGAATGCTTAAATATACCACCAAAAATTCCCAGCGGCCCCATCTGTCTATATTATTACCCAATCACAATCAACCAACAGAGGGGATTTTAGAGGAACACCGTGCTGCGCATACAGACACGCATCGGTCAGGAAATCATTTTCAAAGGTAGAGCAATTACAACAGCTGTTTTGCTCTTTATCTCAAGTGAAAGTGAAATCTGCTCGGTGCCTTTTGACATTACAGCATGTCATATCATTAATGAGTCAATGCATCGCTCTTTCCGGCGTGTTGGGCAAATTCTATTCCGTCCCCACAGAGACGCTCGAACCGCTGATTGAAAATGTCGAGGTGACGGAGGACATGACTGATTGCCATCTGAAGGGCTGAAAAGAAGAGGAGGAGGACACAGAGACCGAGTAAAGGGGAAATAGAGGGAGAGTGATGATCAGAAATTACATCACACTCTCACCAGCGCTGTCACTATTCATCTCATCAGCCGGTTCCATAGAAAGCGCTTCTATCCCATATGAACACTCGTCTCTAAGGTCCTGCCGGATCTTCAAAGGCTCCACTGAAACGTGCATCAAAAATCAAATATGTTTGCATTAGCTGCTTGAAAACCCGGCTTGGATTTATATGAAAATGCTGACGCCAACAAAAACGTCAGCCTTGCACTTAAATGTAAATGCTTGCAACTCTAAACTAAGCTATATACAAATAATATCCAATGCAGACAGAGATACGCATTTATGGAACGATAAAGGGAGGCATTTTGCTCTATAGCTTAACCAGTATTTACAGGGTTTCTGCAGGTTTTGAAGGTAAATTTAAGCCTTTTAAAGACCAAGTAAACACAATTTAAGGAATAAAAGTAAGGGGACACAAAGAAATTCATCAAAATTAAATGAGATTATGATTAAAACATCTGCCAGTGGGGTCAGAAAAAGTACCTTTTCAAAAGGGACAAATGTTTTCATACCCCACTGATAGATGTTCATTTTAAGCATAAACGCATTTAATTTTGTTACATTTCTAAGAAATCAGTATTCACGTCTGTACTACTTTCCTTCTCAAGTGAACATATCTTGATTTAAGGATGTTTAGATGTTTGTATTGGAAAACAAGTCAAAAATACTGAGAAAGATATTCATTTTTGCAAAGCATGCATTGTTTAAGGCCATTACTTTATGAATTTAAGACCTTCAGCTCTGATTTAAGACCTTTTTATGGCTCTAATTTGGGGAAGGGTACGTAAATTAAGACCCACACAAACCATTTGTCAGAGACTACAATAGATCAAGAGCTGGTCCATGTTTTTCTGGTAGGGTCAGTTGTCAGGGGCAGTGCATCAATGTGTCCTAAATGTCATTTTCTATCCTGGGACATTCAGGACATTGATTGCATTATTGTATTAATGGCTAAAGTAAATTCAATATCACTGATCCCTGAAATCCAAACAGTCTCATAAAAGCAAGCACAGCTGCGGAAATCTTTTGATACAAATACACTAAATCTTCTTACATGAAACTAAACTGTCTTTAGAGTGGAAAAAGGTTCTTTAGATCCAAAAATGTTCTTCACACCTAAAAAAAATGGTTCTTTTAAGAACTGTTCACTGAAAGGTTCTTCGGGAACAAAAAAGTTTCTTCTATGGCATCACTGTGAAACCCCCTTTTGGAAGCTTTATTTTTAAGAGTGTATAATGAACATTTATAATCTTCAAAACTATATACACACTGTTAAAAGGTTAAAGCTTCTTTATTGCCATTGATGATTCCATAAAGAACAATTAACGTCCATGGAATGTTTCCACTGGACAAAAGGTTCTTAATAGTGGAAAATGGTTGTTTACATTTCTTTTAAAGTTCTTCACACAAAGAAAATTGTTCTTTCTTTTAACTGAAAGGTTCTTTGGGGAACCAGAAATGGTTGTTCTATGGCTTCATGATTCTATGACAACCGTGTTACAAGTGTTATTTGTAAGAGTGAAACATCATGAACATGTATAATAATCAAATAACTATATACAGTCTTAAGAATAAAGGTTCCAATAAAAAGGAAAACATCTTCATGGAACCATTGATGCCAATAAAGAACAAGAACCTTTATTTTTAAGATTGCAAAGAACATTTGAATCATCTAAAGAAACTTTTCTACTATAAAAGAACATTTTATGCATTGGAAAGGATGTTGAAGGTTCTTCATGGAACTATCAATGCCAATAAAGAACCTTTATTTTTAAGAGCGAAGAGGGTTCATTGAGGAACCTAAGGAAAATTTTTCCACTAAATAAACTCTTGTCCAATTGAAAGTTTCCATGGATGTTAAAGATTCTTCATGGAACCATCAATGCCAATAAAGAACCTTTATTTGAATCATTTAAAGAACCTTTTGTCCAATGGAAAGGTTTTAGATGTTAAATGCTCTTCATGGAACCATCAATGGCAATAAAGAACCTTTATTTTTAGGAGTGTAGCATAATAAGAGGGTTCATTGAGGAACCTAAAGAGCCTTTCTCTGCTAAAGAACCGCTTTATAAAAAGGTCCCATGGATGTTAAAGGTTCTTCATGGAACCAGCAATGCCAATAAAGAACCTGTGCAGCAAAAGAAGAGGGTTCATTGAGGAACCTAAGGTGCTGCAAAGAACCACTGAAGAATTACAAGCCAACAGCGCTTCATTAGTAAACTGATTTCAAATATTAAAACCTAAATGCCACATCATTGCGCTCTGGAACCAGATGAGGCATTTGGCACACGATACCGAGTCGGTTTGATCAGCGATGTCAGTACGCCTGGATTTGGCAAACGCCGCTTCTTTTCCACACCTTTCAGAGGTTGCCAACATCCCTGCCCACATCCACAATCTATAACCTCAGCTGTTCCAGCACGGCTGACATTATTACCTATAATACACTCTAGTGAGCTCTTGTGCTGTGATTTATATACGCCTTGGGGCTTGTAGACCCGCAACCACCGGCCGACCTCTAGCAAAAACACCTGCTCTCCTCCACCCCTGCTCCATTTGTTCACAAACCGGCCACAACCTTCCAGAATACAGTATTTAAATACATCAGGTAGGTAATCTCACTTCAAGCAGAATGCAGGTTAATGAGAAGTGGGATAACGAGATGCTAGGATTAATTGGGGCTGTTATTTGTTGAGTGGGTGGTAAGCAGAGAGATGTGCTGGTGTAAACTCATTAAAGCACGGTCTTTACACAAACATGTCAGTGTTATCATATCAAAGACGAATTAGTGGACCAAAAGAAGTTTTACACATGGTTTGCGTAGATGCTTAATCATGTAAAGTGCTGTTGTTTGCATCTTTTTGCAATTTGGACACATTGTGTGTATATTTGCCAACCCTGATCCTGTTCAAAATTATTTGCTCTCCCTCATGTTGCTCCAGAGTTGTTCCTGAACAAATTTATTGTTCCTGTAAAATAGGGTTTCCAATCTTTTTTTATCAGCCAAAACCATTAAACGTAAAATATTTACATGGAAGTGCCCACTGAGATTTTAAGTTAATATTTAAATAATTTAACAACACAGTTGCATGTTCATTTCTTTGATAGCGAATAATAAATTATTAGATAATTAATTATTGTCACGAAACCGATCCATGAATTTCCATCCACTTGCCACCAGAGGTCGCCCTTCCATGATATTGACTCTCGCACCACACAGACCGTTACACATCACCCTGAACTACATTTCCCATGTTCCATTGCACTGATTACACTCTCACCTGAAACCAATTACACGCTCACCTGAATGCTATTACACATACTATATAACACCTACCCTGATCCTGCTCTAGTCGCCGAGTATTGTTCTGCATTTTTCACTCCCCAAGT